GCCCTTCACCAGTATCAAGGTACTTTTCTTGAAGGGCTCACTGGGGTCTGCTAGAAACCCTCTGTGATCCCTGTAGTATCTTTTATCTTAGCACTCGCTCAAAGGATGAGCTGCGGTTGCAACATCAACTAGTTTTCGATACTTTAAAACAAAATAAAAAACGCTGTGATCAGATGGATGGTGATCAACAAGAAGCAACGCTTCATTTTTATTGGTTACACCCATTCATCTATTAACCATCATCTCTAGTGCAGAGGACCCATATCAAAGGAGTGTTAAAATGTGGCAGATATATTCTTAAAAATGATTCAGTTCTACCGATACATTATGGGTTCTAAAGAATATGATCTTATGTTCATCGATATTCGTTCATAAATTGTTTTCATCGCCAAGAGTTCAAGGCTACAAAGTTTTCTTTAAGAGATCAGCGCCTCTGGGGAAAAAAGTTGAACAGCTTTTGAATTGTTTTTAAATTATTATTATTATTATTATTATTAAGGAAGGAGCGCTAAACCCGTAGGATTATACAGCGCCTGTGGGGGGGGGATGGAAGGTATTCAGGCTTAATTCAGGGAACAGAACTATAGATCCAGTTCCCTAGACCAGGAGCCCCTCACCAGCATCAAGGAACCTTCCTTGAGGGGTAAGATACAATGGATAGAGAGTTCACTGGAGATACTGAACGAATTTGCAGGCATTTATCTTGTGTGACCCTTAAGCCTAAGAGCAGAGCACTAATGATATACACTATCACACTATATTATGTGCCCCAAGTTCTACCAACACATCGAGAGAGGTACTTTAAATCGTCGTTATAGTATGCGTATCAACGTCACATTTCTTAAGATCGTCGATCTTCTCAACTTCAAAGTCTCTTCAGGAATTATAAAAAGAGACAGTAAATACAATGTACGGTGTACTGCGCAATTTTATCAGTTACATTCTAGATGGGTTTCAAGAGTTTTTCTACTCCCGCAGCCGTCTCCCGGACCAGGCTTGTCTGGTGCCTACCAAATCAACCAGGCTGTTACTAATGGTGGCCCGCTAGCCCACATATCCATCATAACCCGGTTGATCCAACATTTGACAAGAGGAAACCGCCGAATTTCCTCTTAAAGACTAATTAATACAATTGTCCTAGCAGTGTTTCTGATATTTCTGGCAAGATGTTATTTAAGATGTTAAATGTCTGGGGCCACGGATGTCAGTACAGTGTTCTCTTATAGTGCTCACGGCGCCCCTACTTTTCACCAGGTTTATTCTACCCTTGCTTCCCTATCTCTAACTCCAGATCCTCAAGCACCTTCCATATATATATATATATATATTATCATCATTTCCTCTACAAGTATATACTTAGAACTTTCAGGCGT